ATATATATATATATTATATTATAATATGATATGATATTATATATTCTAAAGATATATAATATGTATGTATATATATATATGTATACATACATATGCATGTAATATACTATAATATATATATATATATACATATATATATATTCTTAATTAATATATTATATATCCTAGTAAGTTTGACTTATATTGAGTAGAGAAATGAACACACAAATATGTATATATATATATATACAAATGTCTTATAGTTGTATTATATATAGATATGCTACTATATTTCTATTATCACAATATATATATATATAGTTATCTATAGTATTATATCATTATATATGTATATATTATATGTTACATATGTATATATACACATACATACATCTTGTGTCTACATTTAAACATATATATATGTATGTATACATGCATGATATAAAGATTAACATAATCAACCTCCACACAACCTTTAAACCCCAAGCTCCGAACCCGAAACTTCGGACTCGTTTTTGCATGAACCGTAGCCCACACTCAAAACCCAGAATCCCGATAAACCCCAAGCTCCGAACTCGGAAATGGTCCTTGCCCTACACCTTCAACCAGACAGACACGGCCCGGCCCAGAACCCATAATGGAGCAACCACCCCTGCCCAAGAAGCTTGTTACAAGCCAATGGCTTTAGGGGTCCGGAATGAAACCGTTTTGCAGAGTGGGTCTTCAGACCAGGTTTCGTGGTAAAGGCCTCCGAACGGCCAGGATTCACAATCAGAATGCATGAGACATGAATATCACACTTGCTTCCTGTAGCGGCCAATGTCTGAACATGATTAAGGTCCTGGGATAAGTATATGCATCATGATGGAATCGAATGCATGCACAGTCACAAGGGTTTCCCCCAGAGTTACATATGCCCGCATGGAATCAACAGGAAGATGCATGTGCAGGGAATGTAGTGCGAGATTCATGCTTATCATGTACATGTCCCGAATGTCACAAACAAGGTCGGTCGTCTCATAGTCTTTCCTGAGATCAGATTGGTGGCATCATGCACAGAAGACAGCAAGAGTTAGTGGGTTTCAGGAGTCCCGTCGCCGAAACAGGTCTTTGTCACCATCGTCTTTAGTGTATTGTACAGTTATGCACTATAGATGTTCAGTAAGCAACACTATTTCGTGATCAAATGCATAAGACCCAGAAAGATTTGCAGTATGGCAAATAATACTGCATATACACATTTTGCAGTTTGTAGAATATATGTGTATATATATGTATAGCTGTATACAGGGCACTTTGCCGACATGATCATACATGCCATATACACATTCTAACACACAGATATACAGGTATACAGACAGAGTAGATGTATATGTGTACATGCATGCACAAAGTCTATCCTTTGCATATATATCTACACAAACATGTCTGCATGTACAGATGGCATACATATGTACTTCTATATATGCACATATATATATATATACATATATATATATGTACATAGATGTATATATATACATATATATATATATTAATTATGTTTATGTGTGTGCGTTCTGGTGACGTCATAAATACAGATAAACACCAATTCTTGTCTATACACATCTGTATACATGTAACATTATATATGCACATGTGTAGACATGTGTAATCATTTATATGTTTTGAATCATATATATCTATAGATATAGGTCTGTAAATACATGTGTATATATATATATATCAATCAACTGTACAATTTTATATATAAAGACAAATACAGCACACCTATATAAGTACATATCATCTAAATTAATATATATATATATGTATATATGTATATATTTATAGACACACAGACACTTTATCTATCTATACTTTGAGAAATGGTGCTGCCACATAGTTCACACATAGTTTTCACAATGCCTTTCTTTGAGGGATTCCTCAACAAGAGATACTATACGATACTAGAGGGTTCCTATCATTCTCTATACATATACACATACATAGATCTACAATATCCTGGCACTTGACAATCTGTTTCTTAAGGGTGTACTTTGCAGTACTGAAATACTGTTGTGCTACTCTTTTCCGGAATGTTCTATCATTATATCAACATATATGCTTCAGCCCTGAAACCTATTATAATATGTCCATGCATATATGTCTAGATCTATACACAGACTGATATAGAGATACACACAGATATCCACATACAGATGTCTAGTAGATCGAGATACATATAGCTACATATAGATGCATGTGCATAGCATATTTACAATCCAAGCTTGTTCCCTTTAGGCACATTGCGACAACTGTCGGCATGATGCTAACTTGTACAGCGAGACTGCAAATTCCATAATCGGAGAACAACCCTGGAATGCCATTGCAGTGCTAGGACAACTGCTTCAAGACCTGCACTACCCTGAGCCCGGCCTAAAGGTTTGCCATCATGCCATCCATCTAGACATAGGCCTTATAAGTGTGCATCTACATACACATAATTCTCAGGCCATGCATCTGTAAGACAGCACCAAGCAGGGCTTGACGGTAAGGGGTTTAGGGTATGGGCACTCAGACATGTTTTAAGTTGAGGGGCTCAGGGTGCCAGGCCATGTGTTACTTCATGCTGTCCCTCTCAGGTACAAGCCTGCTCCGGCGGTCGATGGCGTGCCACTGGTGTCCAGGGCCATCTCCTTCTGAAGCTTGGCCAAGGCTGCTTGGCAAGCCTTAGATGCCGGAATATGTATCATGATAGGTGTCTCTAGGCACACATGAACAGCAGACCATGCATGCATGCACCACAGGCACCAAGATTTGCTGGTCCAGCGGGTCTGCCCCAGCAGCTCCCGCCATCATGGCCAGCCCTTCATCGAGGCTTCCACATGACCGTGCCATGGCTAGCAGCGAGTGCTCTATGCTAGGCAAAGATGATCGAGCCCTGAAAACCTTCATGGCATGCATGGCATGACATGAGCACATGCGCCGGTAGCCCGTGCAGAGGTTAATTATAAATTATATATATGAATACGATGTATATATAGATGCACGTGCTGCAGGAACTGCTTTTCTCTTCTTCAATCCAGCCACTCTGCCCAGGTCCTCAATCAGCACCTGAAACAGCAAAAACAGCAATTTCCAGTTAAACTGGCAAATTTCCAGTAAAACTGGAAAACCTAATTTTCCTTGTTTTCCTTGTTTTCTGGATTTGCGGGAGTTTGCGTGCGGGAGAACTGCGGGTATTTGCGGGATAATTGCGGGGAAAAGTGGTTAAATTATTTTTGGTTTTTTAGGATTTTAGCAGATTATGAATTTGCGGTTTTGCGGGTTGGATTTCCAGTAAATCAAGTTAAACTTGCCCCTCCCCCAAAGAAAAATACAACCCATCCCCTTTTGTGCTCTCTTCGTGACACCTGCTCGGCCCAAGCAAAACCTCGGGGCCCCAGGACCTGCCTTCTGCT